GGGAAGGAAGTTGGCGAACAAGACTACGGTTACTTTGTCAGATTATGAGTTGCTGGATTAGGGTTAGAAATGATGCGTTGTTTTTCTACAGTGCGTGCAGGCGGTATATTTTTCCTTTGCCTTTCCCTTTCCCATGGTCGTGGACGCGTTTGCGAGCGGCGGGTGAGCATGGATGAGACGTTTTGCAATGCCGTGGTTAACTAGTTGTTGGCTGGTTGGCTGGTTTGTTTGGGTGCAATCAATGCGTATGGTGGTAAAAGGTACTTAGTTCGGGGATAAGCCGCCCGAAGGGTGGACACTAAAAGAGGGGCGGCCGGTCGGTTGCCTTCTCTTCCCCATTCAGAAGCTAGCAGCTGAGGCAGGTAGGTTGGGGTCAAGTGTGGAACAAGCTTGGGAAACTTTCCGGACACACACTCTCATTCACGCACATGCAGGTCGGTCGAAGACAAATGGCAAGGTTTGATAGTTAAGGATTTAAATTAAATTTCTAAAATTTTCTCTCAAATCGACGGATGAAAACGGTTGCATGGTACACACTATTTCTTCTCACGAACGAATGGTTTGCAAGGGGGGACGAAGATTAATTCCCGCCCTTCCGAGTAACGCCGATTTGAGGGAATAGTATACTTGGGGACAAAAAGAAACATTGCATGCCAAAAGGAAAAGTCCCATGATCTGAGCAACACTGGGTATGAGCTTTGAGTCCTGAGACAAGCAGCAAGCCTCCTTCCTCATAGTCCTCGCGAGGCGCGCACGCACGCCAGCCACATTGCGCGGAAATTGAACAGGGACGCTGGATAATACTGCCGAACAAGACCTGCGACTACGTTGACGTAGTCTCCGTCGCACGCTTGTCCAGTCCGAACCAGACACCTTCTTAATGTAATACGAGAAGGGTGTGAGGCGAGGCTAGGCCTAAATTTCCGCCATAGATGAAGATTTATGCAGTATATGCGCCGGCTTGGTCTGCCGCAGCAATGGCACAGCCAGCGCAATCAGGGCAGAGGGCAGCAGAGGGCAGCAGGTGCGAAGCGCGGAGAAGGCAGAGTACTTTTTGGGGTGTATCGGAGCCTCAATCTGTTCAAGGGGGAATAAGATCCGATGGAAGCGCCGCCCCGGTTTGAATACGGGTAGCACAAGGTTGGCTCAAAACAGGTACGTAAAGCGAGGCCGCCTGACGCTTGACCATTGACAACTGGAAGCTTGTCCGGTACGGCGAATATTCGCGGGAGATGCCCCGGGAGGCAGTGTGGGCTATAGAGAGGGAGACGTTGTTTTGTTTAATGTATGCGATGCGTTGTGTGTTCAGCAAACGTAGTGGTAGCACCGATGAGGAGCGAAGTCTTGAAAAAGTAACAGCATTGGCATCGTCGTACTCTGTATCTTTTTGCTCGACATTTGCTGGTCTGGTGACTGTCGCTTGTGATACCTCATCTATGTACCCCGCGAAGGCTTCGCAATGGCAATATCGCAAAACGACTGGGTCAGGGGTGTGGATATTGTACCTCGGACGCCTTCCAGAACACGGAAGCCTTGATATTAGAAGACGCCTCTCGGAGCTACGAGACACACCAGCAGCCACTGCTGATCAGCGGTAGTGGATGGCAATGAGCAGCATCACCTGTCCAACTGGTTTGTTACGTTTTGCATGCAGGTCAGGGTTGAAAAGGGCTGCAGGTGCTCTGAGAGTGGGAGGGTAGTTAGAAGCAAGCATGAGTCGCTGCTCGTAGCTTGCAGCCGTGGTTACTCATGCACATGTCGAGTAACATGTTCACGCACGCATTCGGTTAATGTTGCTGGCGGCCGAACCGAAGGCGAGGAGACGGGGCGGAGGGGTTTTGTATCCACATGCATCATATCGCCTGACGCTGCAACCGACGGGCAGCGTGCGAATCATTAGGGCAGTTCTGCTTACGGGGCTCGTTTGTTGGAGTAGTTCGTTGCTGTCGGAAGAATGTGGCTGGGCTGGATAACTAGAGGTGGGGGTGGTGGGCTGACTCGCGTCGACGAAAGTTGAGGAAGGTGGACTAAGGCCAAAACTCAAACCAGCTCGTCTAGGCACCTACCTGAGGCATTTGGACGGCTGTGCCTGGAGTATGTTTTCTTGACGTGCTGGACCGGTGGTCACAAACACATGGTCCACTGCCCACTGCTGCGCACTCGGTGAAATCAGTGGATAGTTCCGCCCAAGGTGTGCGGGGCTCCCGTCGGCGCAGACCAAAATAGGTCGGGCAGACTTGCTAGAATGGCGCATCCCGATGAAGCTGAGCTGCTAACCACGACTGACCGACGCCCACCTGGGCACCCGCCACGCCGGATGACAGCGCGGGTGACGCGATGCTTCCCAACCGCACGCCTCGAGGCCGCGCACCGCTCTTTGCTGGTCAGGCGATGCGGCCTGGTGGACTATCGTAAGCCTCACGACCACGGTAGTCCCAGGGCAAGGCGTGGTGAGGCGTGTACCTAGGTATGGCAATCTTGTCGTGTGTGCTGTGCTGTGCTGTGCTGTGCTGGCTGGCGCTGGCTGTACCTGTTTCGAATCTGACCATGCCCTGTCGATGCTTGAGACGACCCCCGACCCTGCCTGGCGCGACAAGGCCCGGCTCCCAAATTCCGCACCCATGCGCCCCGTCGTTTTTTAAACGCACCGCCATTTGCTGTCCGCAAGCCTGGCACGAGTGACGGCCGTCGACTTGCCCAGACCTAGCCCGACTCAGCACACGGTGCATCGCTCCGTCGCTCGGTCAGCGAGCCTTGACCCGCCCGTCCGTCCAGCAGGTCGAGCAGCCGTCAAGAGATACACCATGAAGAGTGCTGGCTGGTAGTAAAAAGGAAATGTCCCATTGGGCGCATGTATATAGAGCAATGCCTTGCATCGGCCACAAATTGGTCGGGGTAGCACGAGGTACCTTGGAAGCGGGCCGCCGCTGGATTTGGCTGCATCTGCCACCCTGAACTGGCGTAATGTTCTATGCCTCGACCGCCTTGGTTCGGCACCACGGCCTTGTGAGGTATGCGCGTTGGCACAGCTTCACCACCCGCTTTCCCACTCAGCTCTGCCCATCCCTCTGCTTTTTGCATCGACGTTTGAGCATATTGAATCGTTGCTGTCTCTCGTCTGGTTTTCCCAGCCGTTGCTCCTGTGCGTGACAACCAACCGTTTCAGCATCGTACCTTGATACCCCGTGCACGCTTACTCGCTGGATTCCGGGACCACCGCGCTATGACAGTCTGACCTGGCTGATGGTCCTCTGAGCGGCGAGTCCTTTGTTCGTTCCTTCGTCTTCCTCGAACATACCAACGCCTCACCCAAACGCCAGGAGCCTCGCCGACGGGCCTCTGCTCTGCCACATACCCGCTAGCACTGCTTGCTCCTCGCTCAGTGCCTGGGTGCTCTCTCCATGCATTGCTTCTCCTAGCAACTTACGGGTGCGAGCTTCACACCGAGTTCCGCCTCTTTGTATATTTCAAAAGCCAGCAACACCAACATGGCTACCACTATGCTGCCTGCAGGGGGCATTGCCCTTGTTGGCGCCCCGGACCGCGACCTCGGACTTAACGACGCCAAACCAACGCCGATGCAGGCCATGCAGGTGGACATAACTCAGGACATTGTTGATGCCCTCCTCGAAAGCATCAAGAGCGAGAAACCGCCCCAGATCATCTTTGGGCGGACTCCTGTATGTGTGCCAATCTTCCGTGCACCTCTCGTGTGTTTGTCATGTTTGGTGTTGGCCTCGTTGTCGGCGTGGTTCGATCGGAGGAATGGGAAGACACGAGCTGGGCTGACCACAACAACAGCAACTCAAGTACGGCGACAAGACGCACATGCTGCAGAGCAGCACCGAACTCCATCGCTATGAACTATACAAGTCCAGCGGGACTGGGACCGACGACGAGACACTCGAGTTTGCCGGCTTGATCAACCACAGTCTGGTGGTACACAAGGCCGAAGATGTGACGGCGGGCGTTGACTCGGCGCTGGAGCAGCTCAGGAGTAACATGGCTGCGATCTCAGAGTTCAAGGAAGCCAACAAGTATGCCTCCCCGGTGTTTGCATGGCTGGCCAGTTCTTTGGCATCTAGTCGAGAGACTCGAGCACCCCTGTCGCAGCACGCCGCCATTGTGACATGAAGTTGTGGATATCAGGACTGACAGTGCTTGTTGCAGGACCATTGTCGGTGATGCCACGCCAGGTCGCACTCCAGCCCATCGCCGCTTCCCTTCGACGGGCTTCAAGGCTTCGCACCTCGCCCCTTCCTCGCCCATGGGCAAGCGTCCACCTACCTCGCAGCCCACAAACAGCCACGACAACATTGTCACGGCTCTTCGCGTTCCCATAATCCACCTCCTTGCACGTGAACCCGCGACAGAAGCCTCTCTTGCCGCCACCTGCCGCACCTCGCTGGCTGTCATCAGAGATGTCTTGCCAAAGATTGCCAAACGCTCCACCTCGGACGCGGATAAGTGGCAGCTGACTGACAAGTCTTTCCGTGAAGTGAATCCTTACAAGTTTCCATACAAGAGCTCGGAAGAACGTCAACAGGCAATCGATGGCGCAGTCAAGTCGTTTGACCGCCAACGACTGTCAAAGGATGACAAGCTTTGGCAGATTCTCCTACCACGTGAAGAGCGTGGCCAGGGCAAATGCTTGTCGCGGTCGACGGTCAAGGCACCCGAGGCGAAGCCCAAGGCAAGCACCCCAATGCAGAAGATCTCCGACCTCACCAAGAAGAAGCCGGCCGCCAAGAAGGCCGCCGACAAAGCTATTGTCGAGAAGAAGCCTAGAGTCGCAAAGGTTGCCGAGGCCAAGCCCAAGTCGAGCATGAAGGAAAAGTACCTGGCACGTGAGCAGCCGGTTGTGAAAGAGGTGAAGGAGGAGCCCACAATAGCTGCGGCCCCAGTCACGTCCACCTCTTCAAGCTCAACTGCTCGACCGACCGCACCTTCTCACCGCAACACACCTTCTACCGACGTTTCCAAACCCCGTACCAATACCACCACTCCACGTGTAAAGCCCAAGATGTCCGGCCGAGACGCGCAGCGAGAACGACCCGCGAACAGGCCATTCAAGCCCACGATGCCCGTCAACACCAAGCCCAAGAACCCCTCACCTCTGTCTGCCTCGCCGCCCGTCAACGCCAGTGACTTTGAAGACTCGCACCCAGTCCACAAAGCTCTCGCCGCTGCTCCGTCGCCTGCCAAGTCCTCTGGCAACTCGGACCGCATTCTCAAGCGCAAGGCAAATGACATTGACAGCGACATCCACAACCACAGTCTGGCCGTCAAGAAGCCGACCGCCGACCGCGCCACTCCCAACCGCACCCCCTCACACACCAATGGCAGGCTCAACGGCTCCACGCCCTCCAGCACTAGCTCACTGAAGCGCAAGTCCGACGATTCGTCTTCCTCCAACACCCCCACCACTGCACCCAAGGTTCGCAAGGTCACCAAGATTGACACCGGTCTCGCCTCTCGCTACCACCACAACAACCCCCGCGCATCTCCAGGCGCCTCCTCATCTTCGACCACGTCTCCATCCATGCCGAGTCTGAGCTTCCGACAGACGGTTGAGCTATCTCAGAAGTTCCAGCGCTACTACAAGAAGTACGAGGAGCTCTACTGGCAGCTGACCGAGGCGGAGAAGCCCCCGACTGAAGCACAGAGGAACGATCTGCTCAAGATGCATAAGAAGCTGGAGGAGATGAAGAGGGAGATCAAGGCTGGTGCTGGCATGCACCACCGATGAAAGACGGCACTGAGTCGTCGCTCACGACACGGCGCATAGTGCGCGCATGATTATTCAGTACACATTGCACATATACCCCACGGCCTACGCGACTGATGAGAATGGCGGCAATTTGCATATCCAAAAAAAGGAGTTTGTGTTTTCTCTGTCTCGGCGTTCATACAGGAGGACTTGCAAGGACGGCATTTAGGGTATGGTGTTTTGCATTTGATCATTGTTCTCTTCCAAGCTTGCATGTACCTATGCGTACGGCTCCCAATACTATGAACGCGATGAAAACATAATGCCGGCGGCTACATATGCTCTGCATCCGTACAGTGTGTACGTCTCATCACTAGAAATTAGAACCATTGCCCAAATACCGTCTCCACTCGTGCGTTGTCTTTACATCCAGCGGAAGCCCACTTAGTACGACATGCAAAGGCTGAGCCGTTCCCTGCATGAAGACGTCAGTATGTCAGGATGAGCCAAAACAAAAGAGACAGCACTCGCGCCGACCATACTAGAAGAGCGCTGAACAGAGTTCAGGACGAAGGGAAACCCTGGATCAGCACACCGCCGATCTCAGCTTGGTGGACCGGGGGGGGGGGGGGCAGCAGCAAAGACGCGCCCCAGGCCCGGCACCGATCGTGCAACAGCCGATCGGTGGTGCTGGCGATCTGCGGCAGCTACCACCCCCCTGCAAAACGTCATCCACTCAGCCCTATGCGCTAACCGCACCTCTCGACGTTGCTTACTGACGCCATGAGCATTACACAGTCGAAACAAGCAACATAGTCGACGTCGCCGCCACCATCTGCAATTGCCTTTGTCTCTCCATATGCGCGCATTACGAACTTTTTTCGCGAACCTCACACGCAGCGCACCGAAACGTGAATACGCACGGGTCCACGACATCACAATCAAGTGGGACAGAGGAGCCAGTCCGACACCAAAGCAAGAGAACCACGACACTGAGGCCATGTCTTTGAACGGTATGTTATTTTTTTTATACGCCGGTTGTTGGGCATGACCCCCGGGAAGCCTGAAAGGAGAGGTATGCCGCATGATGACTGCATGCATTGGGTGCCTTGTATGTTTTGCCCGGTCCGGGACCCGGTTACAGGATACCACGGTACCCGTCTCATTTAGCATGGCCGTCGGGTGAAACGGTTTGGTTTCGGGTCGAGTGTGATCTTCAGGCACGAATTTGTTCGGTCTAGAACCGGCGGGTTTTTGTATGCATTGGGTGTGGTAGGTCGAAGAGAGGAGGGGGGAGGTTACGCCATGGCTTGCTACGCCCAAGGCTACTTTTGGTGGACGACGACCACCAATGCCACCACTACTACAACGAATACATGTGGTGCGATCATGTTGCACAAATTTGCTGACAAAGGACTGTTTTTCTTTCTAGTCTTCAAGCAACCCCTCGCGCTGCACTCAACGCAGCCCCTCACAGGCTTCACCCGCACCGGCTACTGCGAGGTGCCCGCCTCGGACGCTGGAAATCACTCCATAGCGGGTATCGTGTCCAAGGAGTTTCTCGACTTTAGCGCGTCCCGCGGCAATGACTTGCGCCAGATTGGGCTCAAGGATGGCTGCAAGTGGTGTCTTTGTGTGAGCAGATGGAAGGAGGCGTTTGATGCGAGGACGGGGCATGACGATAAAAAGGTTCCCAAGGTGGTGCTTAAGGCGACGAATGAGAAGGCGTTGGCGCGTGTTACGTTGGAGGATTTGAAGGGTTTTGCTGTGGATAAGGAGTAGGGGGATTCTGGGGTGGGAATGTAGTGGGATAGAGGGTATGGAGGGTAGAGGTAGTCGTGGAAGTGATGCGTTTCTCGTACATTGTTAGAATTTGCTGCTTTCGGTTCACCATGGATATGGATTGGATTGAAGTGTTAGTCGTGCACTCGTTTGCGGTAGAGAAAACTATATGACTAGAGATACCTTCGCTTACACACTACATCATAAGAATTTCTCATCTCAACAACGCATTGGAAGTAGTTCATCAACAGTCAGATATATGCACATTTCTCAAAGTTATGAGATTCAAGATGAAATATTCGGAGTTGACTATAATCTAGCTACTCTATCCATCGATGCTGATCCGAAAGTCTACATTGTGGGGTATCTGTGTCGTGCCGAAAATGACGAGAATCATGTCTCGATGCAACCATGCCTTTGTATCCCCCAAGCTATTCCATACACCCAACCAACTACATCCTCGTGAACCACCAGGGCGAGCTTATCATGTAGCGATTGAGTTCTCTCGATCAAGCGAGTGGCGGGTCTGCGCGTTCTGCACCGAGATCACGTGTCACGTTTGCCTTCACTCATATCTGGCGATGTTACACGAACTGAATCCCATAAAACTACCAAGTCTGACTAGTACATCCAGTACGTCATTACAATACACAAAGTAGCTTGAGTACCTGGAAAATACAGAGATGAAAGTGGTTTTACTCGAGGTTTAATGTACCGTAAAAGGTACCTGGGTATACAAGTTGAGAATATGGTGTGGAATACCACAGAAAGATGTATCCACCCTACTATTTACCATCCAAATGCTTGTGAAAATGCTGTCTGTAGTCTCCAAAAATTCCATACCCATCCTGGGTCATGGTCTGCTTGACCATATGAGAGCATCCATTCTATGAACTTAACCACCGTATGCTCTACGACTTGTACTGGTGGTGAATTCGGAGCACTCGTGCTGAGCGCTCCGGTGTTTTGCTTCCGGTGGGTGCCCTGTATGGGCTGTCGCTTTCCCATTGTAGTGGACTGCTGGATTGTAATGGACTGCTGAGGGGGGGCGTAGAAGCTGGAATTCCCCTTTTCTGGAGTATGAAGACAAAGGCTTGAAACACCCTCTGTTATATCTGCTATCATAGAGTCCTCTGAAGGACGGGTACGATTTACAAGCAGGGTGCAGAGTGTGCAGTTGTTGACGCTCATTGGGAAAATCCAGCGTTCTTTCAAGTCCATGGGTTTGAGGTCGTCCGGAATGCTCCAGTTGGCTGCTTCGGGTTCGGGTGAACAGGTTTTGTGGATGAGATATCGGATTGCGAGGCGGACGCTGACACTGATTTTTGTAACGGCTCCAACGTCGCAGACTTTCCAAAAAGCAAGTTGACTTGGATTACTTGCTTGACTTGCTTGGTTTAAACCAAGCAAGCAAGTCAAGTAAGAGCTGGGCAGCTAAGCAAGCAAGTCAAGTCAAGATACTTTGCTTGCTTGGCTTACTTGGTTTACTTGGTTGTTTTAGCGTTACTGTGATGAGGGTGCTAAAACTGCTGTACGGTAGATGTCGCGATGGTTTTGAAGTGTTGCAGTTGCCTCGGTTGAGTCCCAAACAGGCTAAGCGGCTATCAAATAACGTTAGCCTTAGTCTAGCGCATTGCTCCAATCTCGACGTACGCCTGTCTAGAAGCCTATCGCAATGCAGTATCCCCTATAGCAACGCGTTTTCCAGTGATTTATACTGCCCTGATACCCCCAATATGGCCAAACGTCGCCTACCACAAACTTCTGCTCGGAGCAAACGTACGAAAGTAGCCGCTGCCACCAACAACGTCGCCTCAACTCCTGAGGCTTCACCTGAGCCTGCATCTAAGCCTGCATCTAAGCCTAGACCTCAGCGTCGATCACCTCGCAAAACCCTAGCTGCCGCAAGCCAGGCTAACGCCTCGCCGCCAATACCTACCTTCGAGTTGCAGTTCTTAGAGTCGCAGGCGGAGGCTGAGATTGTCGCGCCCACCGAGGGCAGCCGAGCTGGCACGGTGGCTACAACTGAGGCTGGAGAGGGTGGTCAGGATGAGACAAACAGCGCACTAGTTGAGAACTTTGACGGCATTGACTGGGCACGTTTACCTGATTTTATCAAGCCATTGGCGCGTTCTAAGCGCCCAAAAAGTTGGATCTTTCAGTATGGCTACCGCGTTGTTGAGCGCCATGCTACATCTCGAATCTGGTTTGTGTGCAAGTACTGCCATGTACACAAAACTATCGACGCTGGCCGTGGTGGTTTGTTTAACATTACTCAGGCTACAACCTCAGCAGCCACCCATCTCAGCCAACCAAAGCCTGGCCACAACCTTACGAAAGATGGCCCAAAGTTAGCGCAGAGAGCTCGAGGCCAGCTGTCGTTGCGGCAAGCTTTTGACGCTGGTTTAGACGTACAACAAAACACTGCTAACGCGTTTGGAAACTTCGACGTAGAGGGCTTTCGAACAGCCACTGTCATGTGGCTTGTTAACCGAAACCACCCGCTCAGCGAACTTACGACGCCTGATTTTAGAGAGATGATGAGATTTGCCAACCCAGAGGCAGAGGCAGCGTTGTGGGTAAGTAATACCAGCGTTTCTACCTTTGTGATGAGGTTGTTCCGGTCTATACGACCGCAAGTTATCGACACCCTGTCAGGCTCAGTAAGCAAAATACACGTAAGCTTTGATGGCTGGACAACAAAGGGTGGTAAACGTGGCTTCTCTGGAGTAGTCGCTCACTTTGCCGACGCAGCTGGAATAATACGAGACTTACCAATCGATCTGCCTGAGCTCGCTGGCGCCCACACCGGTGAGGCTATTGCCAAAGCTATCTCGACGACGCTCTCAGCATACGGAATAACAAGCGACCGATTAGGCTATTTTGTACTCGACAACGCTACCAACAACGACACTGCGATCGCCGCGATCGCCGCGCTCGCGCGCGAGTACGAATTTGAGTCCGCTCACCGGCGCCTCCGCTGCAGTTGTCACACGCTTAACCTCATCGGCCAGGCTATTATATTTGGCACCAACAAAGACGCCTACGGCAACACTCAAGAGCAGTACAATACCGAGGAGCAGTATATGCGAGAGTGGCGGAAAGATGGCCCTATTGGAGTGCTAGTTGACGTCATCAACTATATCAAAACGCCGCAACAGTACGAGCTTTTTCGTGGCTACCAGCGCCTTGCCAACAACAACCTGCCTGCTGAAGGGCGTCTCAAAGTACTCGAGCCAGTCAAGCCTGTCGTCACTCGCTGGAACTCATACTATGCTGCTTTTGAGCGCGCTACCAAGCTTCAAGCCGCGTATAACTTGTACGCTGAGCATCATATCAATAGGGTTATCCTTGAAGATGCGCACGCTGCGCAGCGGAATAATAAGCGGCCCGACGCCCCAAACTGGATGAGATCAACTGGGCTCCGAGCTGCTGACTGGGCGGTGATTGCAGAGTACCAGGACTGCTTAGAGCCGCTCAAGTACGCCACAAAACGCCTCGAGGGACGCTCTAAGGATGGCAAATACGGCGCAATCTATGAGGTTATACCCGTTTTTGAGTACGTACTCAGCAAGCTTGAGGCCCGGGCGCGCCCGTTCGAGCACGTCGACTTCAACGCTCATGCCGAGGCTCCAGAGGATCACCTCAACGTCAACCTCCGCGCCGCGTGGAGCAAAGCCAACGACTACTACAACAAGCTCGACGACTCGCCCGCTTACTACGCCGCTGTTTGCCTACACCCGTACTACAAGAACTACTGCGATGTGGCGTGGGCAGACAAAGCTGATTGGCTTACTAGTGCCAACGCGTCGTTCCAACAGCTTTGGGCGGCATACAAACCTCAACGAGCACGCCAGCGGTATACAACTGCGCCGAGTAGCAACAACATAGACGAGGCAATTATTGCTATACTTAGCCGCAACAATGACCGAGAGGCTCCACTTGACGAGTTTGAGCGCTGGAAAACACAAGAGCCGCAGTGGACGCAGGAGCAGTACAACGCAGATGGAAATCCTGTCCAATACTGGATACAACTACTGCCGAAATACCCGCATTTAGCGCAGTTTGCAATCGATATCATGACTATCCCAGCATCAAGCAGCGACTGTGAGCGCCTCTTCAGTGAGCTTGGCGACCTTCTTGAACCTAAACGACGTGCTCTGGGCAGTGAGCTACTCGCAGCTCTTCAATTAGTAAGGTCATGGGTGCGAGCTGGTTATAAACCGTACAACTGTAGCGAGGCTAAGCTTTCAGATGAGCAGCTTGTAGGAGATTACAACATACTAGAGTGGAACACTGAGTTTTGGTAATTTGTATGTAGCTTAATCTCTTTGTAGTAGTCAAGTAATCCAAGTACTTGCAAGTAATACAAGCAAGTCAAGCAAGTAAAAAAATCACCCCAAGCAAGTCAAGTAAAGCCTATGTTTGAACCAAGCAAGTCAAGTTTAGAGCGGTGACTTGCTTTACTTGCTTGTTGGAAAGTCTGCAACGTCGTTACTTGTATCGTCGCTATCGTCACTATCGTCGCTGCTTGCATCGTGGCTAACGTTGTCATTTGAATTGTCGCTAACTTTGTCGTTGGGATCGTGGCTAACGTCATCGTATCGTATGACATCCGAGAAATAGATGCAGGGATCGCCTTCTCCCCCATCACGTTGGTCCAGTTGGAGAAAGATGATTTGGTCGTAAGTGGTGATGAACCCGTATTTGAGTTTGTGACCAAGCATGTAGTTGACTGGTTGGCCTATATTTCATTAGTAGTCTGACAAGAGAATGTAGACTGTTGTGCATACCAAGGATTGCACGAAACTCCGTTGAATCGCCGTCAATAATGCCTTGCATCATTCTCTCCAAGTTTACTAAAGGGTGAAATTTGATCTCCCCAACCAATCGGATTTGGTCTCGACCTTGGATAGGCAGCTTGAGTAGTATATCAGGCTCCATTCCATCGACTCGAAGGTGTTTATCCAAAATCTTTGCATCTCCGAACGCGAGTTTCTGAGGCAATAGAGTCGGATTTGCACTCTTCCCATGAGCTGGAACAACCAATGTGCGAACAACTGAAATCACAGCTGCGAGTACCCTAGAGAATAATCGACCAGAAAGCGAAATCCCGGCGCCACATTGAATCGTCTCGCGGGTCATGGCTTCGCTGTTGACCTCCTCGATAGCTTTGCCCATATAGATAGGGACCTTAGCATAACGGTCCAACTCGGCTTTGGTTCGTGGATCTTTGTAGAATGCCATGACACTCTCTTTGAAGTCTTTCCATGGAGCGAGTTCACCCTCGTAATTATGAAAGATTCTAGGGGCATTTGTGATCGTCTCTATGCCGTGTTCTCCCCTCAAGAGTCCTGGCAGAGGCTGATTTAGTAGATCGTCAGCATTGAGATAGGAGCCTATGAGCTCATCCCCCGAGGATTCTGGGCTAACAATGCTGGTGTCATTTGAGTCATTGTTGATTTGAGTCTCGCTAACCATTCTGGGTGAAATTTTGTAAAGGGGATAGTGACGTTCAGTCGAGAACACTAGTGTTAACTTCATGGAGTCGCTGACTTGCGTTGAACTGTTGACTTGCGCAGAGCTGTTGACTTGATAGAGCTGTTGACTTGATAGAGCTGTTGACTTGATAGAGCTGTTGACTTGATAGAGCTGTTGACTTGATAGAGCTGTTGACTTGATAGAGCTGTTGACTTGATAGAGCTGTTGAACTTTCAGGTACAGTTATTGGTTGATTGCGAAGAATGTGGGTTTTTGTAACTCATAGGTCTGCGACTTTCCACTGCCATGATCGCTTGCATTGCCGTATGGTGATTTCATCCTGCGACCTATGCCAGAAACTAGACCGCTTTCTTCCAATTTGGCCGCCAATAGCTTTAATATTACTTCACACTAAGTTTTTTAATGAGCTCACAGTGTTATTGTTTGCGTTGCGTGAATTGGAGCCTGTTGTCGCAGCGCACGATTTCCTATTTTGGTTAGTACGATCACGTGCCTGCCAGACCCTACTTGTTTATACCTGGACCCCGCCATACACTTCCTGAGCACCCTCACTTTCTCAGCATCGCGAATCAACTGCCATACTTAGGTGCTAAAGTACGAACACTACAGTTTACCATTGTTCAACGCGTCACAGCGACACAAGTTGTGTCCCTCGACACTACCCCCTGCCCGCCGATACTGCTCCGAGAGAACTGCACCAAAGGCTGGCTGGGATATCAAGTAGAGTTTCAGGATGGCTCGTGGTGGAAGTTGGAGAAAGCGTTGTCACAGATGGAGTACCAACGAACCGACCCACCCTTCGAAGCTCGACAGGTTTTCGAATGCGTCTGCACCAAGGACCCCAACAAGTGCCATAACGGCGTCGGAAAAGCTATCGCCAAGGTCAAGTACCAGTAGAGTAGCACAACCCACTAACATTCGTAAATACTGACTAGTCCTAGGGTTCGGGGTAAATTCGATGATAGGATGTTCTACTTCTCGGAGATGGAGCGCCGCAAAGAGGATTTAGCAAAGAAGCTGGGCACTAAAGAGTACGACAAAGCGCTTCAAGAGTACGAATATTTCTCGCGTCTTTATCACAATGCCGTTAAAACAGTCGACACCCCCCACATCTTCACAACCCACGAGATGAATGCGCTCAAACTCTTTGTAGAGTTCAACTGCCAGTATGTACCGCATCTTCTCAGCTCCTGGGAAGGACCCATGCCAGAGGGATTGGATGAGCAGGCGATGCCTGGGGGCTTTCTGAAGATCATACTCATGAACAAGCTTCCTGGGGAGTCGCTCGACTACACCACTTTCTGGGACAAGGATAAGAAGACGAGGAAAGCTATTCGACGTGCGTTTAAAGTGGCTCTCATGTAAGTTAGCTATTTTGATTTCACTAGTTCAATGCTCACAATAGGTAGGGAGGTCCGGAAGTGCGTACTCAACCTACACGACACTACCCTACGGAATCTGGTTTGGGATGAGAAGGAAAAGAAATGGTATGTTCTTCTGTCGCGATAATAGGCTATGCTGCCCTCTCAGATTAGGTACGTCATCAATTTCCAGCACTACCGCAGTCTCCGGGGCGTCCCAGGTGAAGAGAGGGCATGGACGAATTCCCAGTACGGGTTAGAGGGTCTGACAGAAGAAATCGGGATCGAGACGGCTTGATTCTTATGGATTGCAGATCACATACCATTCTATGGGTCGTGTCACTGTGCACGAGCCTCTATATTGTCTGTGATCTGCAATCGATAAGAATCAAGCCAGCTTGACTTGCTTGTTGACATCTCTGCAGATATAACTCTTATAGGAGGCATGTCTTTATTCTGCTATTCTACTGTATATTCCTGTGTATGTCATGTATATCACTCTGTAAGCCATGCATATTCTCCTGTAGGCTATGTATATCTACCTGTACGCCATGCAAACTCGAAAGGGTTAGTCCAACCCCGCTAGGGCTAGCCCGTGTATACATGAACCACCACACCCGCTACAAACCTTCATATCAACACCCACATCGACTTGCGCAACCAGTTAACCACACCGATCAATACCACTAGAACATGGAGCTTGTAAATCAGCCCTGATGTGTTGAATTCCGCAAACCCGCGCCGCAGAACAAGTCAGCTGCTGGCCTTGCGACTGGATGCCTGGGCACCCAGGTACGATTTGACGACGGCTCACTATGGGAAATGACCAAAGTACTATCCCACCTGAAGTACCAACAAAACCAACCACCCTTCGAGGCTCGCCAAGTTCTGGAGTGTGTCCGCATCGAAGACCCTTATAACGCGCATCCTGATGTGCAAGTCGCAGTCACCAAGGTGAAGTATCAGTAGGTTGGCACGTAACATCTCAATATAATTGCTAACAGTTTCAGGGTGCATGGAACGCCGGCGAGTTGCTTCTTCTACTGGAATCAATCACAGGAATCCGAAGAAAAATTGCGCCGAGCAACAGGCACTGCGCATGATGAAAATGCAGAGTCGTGTCAATATGACAAACAACGCCTTCAACTTGCTACCAAGCCAACGGATAAGCTAAACGATGATACCACAAAAGAGTTCGCGGCTCTTACCCATTTCAAGAATGGAGAGTTCACACATGCGCCCCACATTCTCGGCTTTGCAGTGGATAACACGGCAGAGGAAGCGGACGACACTGAAGCAATGCTTGGGGGATATGTTGTTTTCATGCTCATGAATAAACTTCCTGGCGAGCAAATTACTTGGGCCAAGTGCTGGAGCAAGGAGGAGAAGACTAGGGAGGAGATTCGTTGTGCGTTCAAGGTCGCTCTAATGTAAGTATCTGCGCTGGAACCCTATGTCCTAATACTGACAAAAAAAAATAGGGATGTTTGGTCGGTAGGTGCCTGGCCTAGCGACCATGGTATGCGCAAAGTCATGTGGGATGAGCAAGAACATAAGTGGTATGTGTTCCTTTTGTATTGCCAGTTCTTTTACTGACCTTGTGCAGCTACATTGTGTATTTCGAACATTACACTGTCATATGTGAGGAGGACCCAGAGACAGTGATCGGAATGGTCTGGTCTGACTTGGTCTTGGTCTGGTCTAGACCGCCAAGACTTGGTCTGGTCTGGCGATTTTTTGAGACCGTGGTCGGACCGGTCTAGATGATCGGACCGGTCCGGCTATAAATAGGTCCACGTGACTAGATCTTAGACTAATCTAGCCAGAAAATTTAGCACAATATGAGTCATTAAGATCAAGGTAAGTCTTCTACTTACATAGAACAATCAAGTCCTTAACAACCTACTTATATACTATTGTTATGGAGCCTTCAACACCAACCTCACCGTCCCCATCGAATATTATAAGACTAGATTTAACGTCTCTTACTCCATCTCCTATCCCCACGTCATCACCCACCCCTATACTATCACCCACTCCTATTCAATATCACGAATCTCCAGATGAGTTCGTGCAGGGCGGTATCACGTACGTGAAACGTGCAATAATTGCAAGGAAGGATTTCCGTCAAGGTACATCACACATCTGGAAGTACGGACTCCAATACATTCGAGATAGCGATAAGAAAGAGGTGTATTACTGCCATGAGTGCAGGGTTGGGAAGAGCAAGCAAGAGTTGTTTGTCATCAATGGCACTTCTAGGATCCGGAATCACCTGGAACAGAAGCACCAGATTGATCCCCAGAGTGGCATCAAGCGAAAGGGTTCTGTACGGAAGTCTATAATCGACCAGCAAAAGGATGGGGCTGCTTCCAGCATCTTTTTCTGGAAGGAGTCAGTAGAGAAGTTTAAAGAGCTTCTAATTCGTTGGATTGTGTACTGCCATATCGCCTTCTTTCATTAGAGAACCAGTACTTTCGTGAACTACTCCTCTTTTTAAATCCGGCACTACTCAACCACCTCCCGAAGGCTGCGAAGACTATCCGAAGCTGGGTAATGAATGCATTCATATCGAAGAAGCAACAGCTTAGGGAGGACCTACACCATTCACGGAGTAGGATCTCTATCTCCTTTGATCTCTGGACTTCACCAAACCCTTACGCTATCCTAGGCGTCGTCGCTATGTGGATTGATACTACCGGCATGCGACGTGTTACCGCTTTAGGTATGCGACGTATATACGGCGAACATACTGGAGAGAATCTTGGATCGGTGGTCCTTGAATTGCTGGAAGAATACGACATTAGCGGAGATCAGATTGGATACTTTATGCTGGATAATGCCTCGGCAAATGATACCGCTGTTGAGTTTATACTCAAGGATCTCTGCCCATGGATGAAGTCAAAACAACGTCGTCATCGCCGGCTGCGTTGCTTGGGCCATGTCATCAACCTCTGTTGCCAGGCGTTCCTTATGGGGCGAAACTGTGAGAAGTATCTTGCGAAGCTGGAGAAGCATCATCAACGTGGCGACTATACGAAGGTGGAAGAGCTCTGGAAGAAGTTCGGATGTTTGGGTCGTCTTCACAACCTGGTGCGATACATCAGGCTTACTCCACAACGGCGTGAGGAGTTTGCTACAATTATTATCGGCGGAGATCTTTCGCAATTCGACGGGCTTGAGCTTATCCAGAACAACTCGACCCGCTGGAACTCATGGTTTTATTCGATTACACGTGCATTAAATGTTCGAGAACGTTTAGAGCTCTTCTCGGCTCGTCATGTACCTGGAAAGGGCTCCGTAGGGATCGCGAACTTTAAGCTTGATGGACAGCACTGGTTTGAGCTTGAAAAGATTGAACTCGCTCTCAAAGACTTCTATGCTGCAACTTTGCTTTCTGAAGGTAAGAAGACGTCACTTGCGGACTGGTTTTCAACTTTGGACTGCCTTCTCCGGGAGATAAGCGAGACGAAGGATCACTACCACGACATCCACACTGAGGACGATAACAACTTTACATGGAAGTACCTTCAAGGCTGCGCTGATGCTGCTTGGTTAAAGTGCGTTGAGTACTATAACAATCAGCAGCTGAATTGGCAAAATCGATTCCCTGAAGATACTGACCTTCCACCGGCATATTATGCGGCTCAAATCCTTGATCCATATCGCAAGTGGGGATGGTTCAGGCAAGAGTGGGTTCTTCATGGCGACGAAGAGAAGAAGAGGTGGTTTGAAAACGCACAATTAGCGGTGAAGCATCTCTGGGAGACAGAGTATAAGGGAAGGTACCCTGTCGAGATGCTGCCACCACCAGCCAGGAAGGAGAGAGATCCTGACCCAGCATTTGATCGCCAGCGGGAACATAAGCGCATTCGAATAGACGCTCCAGTTTCTACAACTGATTTGTATGAACAATACATCTCTACTGACCGGCTTCATAACGAAGAGGCAGGTTGCAATGAGGCTATTGCGTACTGGCTATCTCGCTACGACTCCCAACGAGATCTCGCTCGCTTCGCTCTAGACATGTTTGCGATCTCGCCTATGTCGGATGAATGCGAACGTCTTTTTAGTAGCGCGAAGCTTACTATCGTCGATCGCCGTGGTAGGCTGAAGGCAGATATTATAGAAGCGTGCGAGTGTCTCCGGGCCTGGTATGGAAAGCCCCAAGCTGAGGGGAACAGCGATATCGAGGATAGTGAGAACGAAGACGACTAGATTGACAGTCAGTAGTAAAACACATTTCCTCGGCTTCCTTCTTTGCTTCAGCCTCATTCTTGGCGGTCTTGTTGGTCGGACCGGTCTGGTCGGACCGGTCCTTATGTAAGCACCTGGTCTGGTCTGGTCTGTACCCTCAGACCAGACCAGACCAGACCATTCCGATCACTGCCCAGAGACATTGTGGAAAGATGCCTGGTACGAAAGTTGGGAGCTTGCAGAGAATTGTCGGACATGGCGCAAAGAATGAGTGCGATGGACAATCGTAAGGACATGATCTACGATAGGAGGATTTGCAAAGATTGGGGAGACATTGAGGTTGGACGGGCTTGCCCTGCCCCCGGCCACATTAGCCGAGGGGACCCGCAGTCGCGTTACCTATGACAGCATCGTGCTGAACTCCACCTAACCAGTACCAACAACCTGTTTGCAATGAAGATCATCCCAACATGTCTCTAGCATGCGCATACCAATTGCATCGTGAATTTGTTGCATACTCCGTGAAATGAGCTACTTGGGACATGTACGCACTCACGTTAGCTGGGATACCCATCTCCATTGGCGCCAATGAAGCCGTACACCAACAGCGGCTCTTGGATGAGGAAGCGGAGGCCGATGAACGCCAAGAGGAGTTTTATTTAGACGTATTTTGCGACGCGAAGAGCAAGAAGAAAGACGAGGTCAATGGCGCGATTGTGGTTTTGAAAGATGGAAAGGTATGCACTATAACCCCACATCAATTTAGAGGCGCGTCAAGCATGCCGCATAATCAACCGCTATCCACGCATGTGTTCAGGTAAAGATTCGCGGAGCTGATTGTCACACAGATCTGCCTCTGGCCCAAAGACCCAGAAACCGGCCTTCCCGCACGCGGTCCAAATGACGAACCACCACCCTACCCCTTCACAGGCTTCTATCTACCTTTCCCTTCTTCTGAGCTCCCACATCGCCCTATGCCTGCCGCGCCCATCCTAGGCCTCGTCAGCACCGTCCCACCCTCTCCCCCCCCTTCCCCCGCCTCATCCGCGCCTTCAACACCCTCCCCGACACCACCCTCCAAAACGTCCTCCAAACGCACAAAGCCAAAGCTCAACTGGCTCTACGCGGACAACTATTCGCGCGAACTGCGGTATGGGCCGCGCGCTGAAGCAAAGAAACATACAGTTGGGCCGTGGGATTGGACAGAAGATGAACAGGGTTTGACGTTGGATGGGGAGGAGTGTCTTGTGGCTGTAGAAGAGAAGAGGGGCGGGTATGGCTGGGCTGTGTACTGGGATCGAGAGGATGACTGTTTGAAAGAGCAAGGAATAGGGAAGGACAAGAGGGTGTTGAGGTGTAGTTTGGAGAGGAGGCTAGTGGAGGAACGGACTATAAAGGGGCTGAATGAGGACTGATGCATCGTTAGAGAGTTGCGTTTGTTGGAGACATCCTCGTGGTTTTCTGTTGACTCTCCACCTGGCAATGTGAAAATTCAGCTAAGGACCACCACAAGATATGATCATTGATTGTTACACCACGCAGGGTTTCATTTCCGTATCCGCTGGCATTGCTTACGCATTACTGGGTTTCCCGAATCTACGCCGGTTTCTACAATCGATTTTACTGTACAAACCATAGCGATTCCTAAAATCCGATTTTGGATTCACTCCGATTTTGCCGGGCCGATTTTTGGAATCCCTACCGATTTTCGGAATCCCTACCGACTATCGTGATGCGTACCGATTTCTGACTCTCGATTCCTAGGACCACTGCCGGTTTTCTGGAATGCACCCCGATTTCTAATCGTAGATTCCTAACTCTACGCCGGTTTTATCGTAGCTTTCTCTTAGATTTTTGCCAATTATTACAATACGTAGTTACTGTTGGAAGGTCTATAGCACTAGTGCTGAAAGGAAATAACGATAACTAGGAATGCATTCTGTTCGGTGATGGTTCTTGTTGATTACGAACATAGCTGCTACGAAGGTATACCTAAGCTCTGCGCAAGGTGGGCCGAAGTCGGGCCGAAGTGTCCAGCAGCCGACGTCTCTACCGATACTCACGATCCGACAGTTACTAAGTTTTCATTACCGATTCATAGGATCCCTCCCGGTTATCTGGATTGTACACCGATTTCTAATGGCCACATTTTAGAACCCCTCCCGATTATCACAACTTGTAACGGTTTTTAGGACCATTACCGGGTTTAAGATTTTATCCCGACTTTCGAGTGCCGATTTTAGACCACTGATTTTGGGGACCCTTACCGATTTCTTCGACGCTGCCTTTCTATAGTAACTATAACTGAGTCCTGGCCTCGGAGGCTACCCTGAATAGCCTAAATGCTTTCGCAATCCTGGAATTGCGAAAACTTTCCAGAAGATGCATAGCAGAACCTAGACTCATGACTCTAGAAACGCGTTAGATAGAGCTACATCAAGGTCTACCTTTCCCTACTACGTACAGATGAGGTTCTAGGAAGTAACTTTAAATTAAAGGTTTTCGTCGTCTTCTTCGCCTCATTCGTGTTCTGCTCATACCAGAAGCTCCGGACCTATATCTTTATATCTTTAGGTAAGGCTAAGAGTGGTCTACGCAAGAAGATACAAGTAATTGTACCATGTCACTATCAGCGACTCTAGTAACAACCTACACGACTGCTGAGTACAAGGCATCAACGTTAACATCCATAGCTTAGAGCATGCAATCAATAGGTCTTGATTTGAGATTCGACTCCCTTGTCTATCGCCCGTACTATAGTTCATCATTGATGTAAAAAGGTCAGTGAATGTTGTGGTGTAGTAGCTTGTCACGTGTTCGGTGTTAGGTAATCGGCGCTAGGGTTGAGTATTTTAGGGCGACTCCGTGTAGAGGAGCTCGACATCTTATCGTACACGATTCTTAATACTACCGATTGTTACTCGGATACCTTCTTGTTCTCTACTCTCTACCGATTGCGGGTCGGCAGCCTCTCTTCTGACTATTGAGACTATCCCTCTACCACAATATCTACCAACGACCAAAGTGTATCCCCGATTACGAAAGGCTAAGAATTTCCTACAAAGAACATCGTCGGCGTGGAATAATTCCACACCGATTTCTCAAATCTACGCCAATTTTGGACACCCCCCAATATTGTAAGACCTCAACTGATTATCGAGATCCACACCGGTTTTGAGTACATACGGACTATAGATGTACAGCGATTTTGTATGCATACCGAGTTTCAAGAACCTTTACCGATTTTATGTATCTGCCGATTTTACGCGTCTATCGATGATATAGGTTTTTAGCTTATTGTTAGAATCATGCCGATTTTTGATACTCAGTACATTAGGTACCGGCCAACCTCTTAGCATCCACCTCAGTTTACATACCTAGCTGCCTTTGAAGACCCACACTGATTTTCACACTTCATACCGATATTATAATACCTCGACCAACTCATGAACGCAGATTTCTGACAACCCACTCCGATTTCCAGAACATACGCCGGTTTTCAATACGTACCAGTTCTCAGAAACCCTACAGATTTGCGAAAATCTGCGCCGATGCGTCGTCAAGCAATTACTAGAATCAATATCGATTTTTAGAATTCATGCTAGATATCGAGAGGTACTGATGTACAGAACCCCTACCGACTTTTGGATTTCACGCCGATTTCGAATAGCCGGTTTTTAGAATGTACCCCAATATACTAAGATTACAGCCAATAGTAAGTAGTCCGACTTTTAGAATCTACATCGATTCTTCGAAACTACACCCATTTTTAAATAAGTGCTGAATTTCTAGCACCCCAGCCGATTTTTGAGAACTCACACAGATTTTGTACAACCTTTGCCGGTTTTCGACATCTAATTACCCTAATTCATGCCGATTTTAAAAAGCCGATTTCCAGAGTACACCGGTTTTCCACATTCACAATCGACTTTCCGAGATTCCCCGCCGATTTTGAGTAGCCGATTTTCACATTCCATACTGGTTTCGATGAACTCATACCGACTTTTGGTATAGATGGCGAGATCTCATTTTGGATGTATGACATAGTGTAACAGGCTGAGCCTATTACATGCGCTACGCTGTGTGCGTAGCTGTCGTCATGCGATTCCTTCGAGATACATCTATAGGTTTCTGTCATCATCCATCTAATTCTACTTCGGCCCATCTTCGGTCCGCTCCTGTATTTATGTACAGCTAGCATCCTTTTGTAGCTCTTTGTCAAATCCACTCTGTTACAAGGCATCTCTTGATCAGTCATCTGTGTATCGTCATCGATACAGCCGCTGGGGTCTAGCCCCCACAGATGTCAATGAGCAAGCTGAGCGAGCTCAGCCAATTGGCTTGCTCAGCCAATTGAGCGGAGGCCAGCAGCTCGCTCGGCTCGCTCGGATTGGCTGAAACAGGGCTGTCAGCTCGCTCGGCTTGATGGGCTCAGTCCCGATTAGGAAAGTTATATAGAAACCTTGGTGTTGAGTTTCTCAGCTAATATCCCACTTATGTACACCGTATTTCGCGTCCATCTCCTCATCGCTGATAGCCTCCTTTACAGGCACCTCACCACTGCCAAATCCAGCTCTTATCCATCGTCTATCGCACTGTATTGCTGCTAGAAGTTGCGGAGAAATGCTGCGCCGACGGGGCTCGAGGAGGTCACCCAGCTCGCTGAATAAGCGCTCACACTCACAGCTTGAGCCTGGGATTGATAGCATGTCGATAGCAAATTTGCTAAGGCTGGGGTAGCGATCGCGGAGTCCTACCCAGTATTTTATAGGGTCGACGCCCTCGCTAGCGATCGGTTCGCTGCGTTTCCAAGCCTCATATTCATCCTCCTCGTTCTCCGTAAGCCCTGCAGGCTCAATAAAGCTGTTGATAGCGTCGTCTATATCATTGTGCCTGACTTTGGGGCGTAAGCGCGGCTTCGGTAAGCTTTTGTACTCCGCCCACAAATGTTGAAACTTGCGGTTGCTGCTCTCTAGCCAATCAGGCTTATCCGCCCACGCTGCGTCAAGGTAGCTTTTGTAGCGAGGATGAAGGATTGTAGCAGCATAGTAAGCTGGCGAGAGGTCGAGCTTGTTGTAGTACTCGCGGGCTTTAACTAGGGCAGCGCGGAGGTTGATAGCAAGGTGGTCTTCGGGTGACTCTGTATGCTCATCGTGAATGACGTCTTCATAGCTTTGCAAGCGGTCCTCATAGACTCCAAGTAAGTATTCAAATACTGGAATAACCTCAGCGATTGCTCCAAAAGCACCGCTTTTGCCGCGGCCTTCAAGCCGTTTTGTAGCTTGTTTCAGTGGCCTGAGCACATCAATATACTCAGCAATCACCTGCCAGTCATGGGCATTGATCCCATCAGACCTCATCCAATCCGGCGCTGCAGGCAGCTTGTTGTTACGACTTCGGGCGTACGCGTCTTCAGTTTCAATCTTCTGAATATGGTAGTTGGCGTACCCATTAACCGCTAATTGCAACTCAACAGCGCGCTCAAAACACGAAACGTAAGAGTTCCAGCGAGTAACAACTGGCTTGACGGGCTCCTTGATTTTGTGCTGTTCTGTTGGCGCGTTGACAGGCTGGTCCCTAATAGCGAGCTTCTGATACTTCTCAAAAAGAGCGTACTGTTGTGGTGTTTTGATGTAGTTGATAACCGCGAGAAGCACTCCTAATGGTCCATCGCCTCGCCAAGTAGCCATGTTCTCAGCTTCGTTCACGCGCTCAGTCTCCTCGTTGTCGTAGGACTCTTTCTCCTCACCCCAGAGTAGCATCTGGCCAATGAGATTAAGCGTATGAGGACCGCAGCGAAGGCGACGCTCGGTAGCGCTGAAGCCCATCTGCAAGGCGAGAGTGTTGATCGTGGTGTTGTTGTTATGTGCGTTGTCGAGGACGAAGTAACCGAGCTTGCCCACAGTGATTTCGAACTGCTTGAATATTGCCATCACGACCTCAGCCATGGCCTCGCCGGTGTGGGCACCTGTCAGTTGTGGGAGCGCAATAGGCAAGTCCCTGAGCTCGCCAGAGCTATCAACGTAGTGGGCGACGATACCTAAGTAACCGCGCTTGCCACCTTTTGTCGTCCATCCGTCAAAGCTTATATGGACTTTGCTCATTGATTCTGAAAGGCTTGCGACAACCTTTGGTAACAGGTAGTTGTACAGGCGTATAACGTATCGTGAGACGCTGTTATGAGATGCCCACAGGGCTCGTTCTGCCTCTACGCTAGCTAATTGTATCATATTGCGAAAAGACGATGATTCGAATTGTGAGAGTGGGAGGTTGTTTTCGACGAGCCAGGTGACGGCCGCAAGCCTAAACTCTTGTATATTGAAGTTGGTAAGCTCGTTGGCAACAGCCTGAGAGCAGCCCTTCTGAAGGGCGCGTTCGAGGAGAGTTTCTTTCCGAGGAGCGACGGTAGTGCGCTTACTTGGAGGCTTCAAGCCATGACCTTTCTTGTCTTCTCCGAGATGACGTGCTGGCGCTGATGGAGACTGCGAGACGTCATGTATGCCACGGCCAACAGTAGTGAACTTGTGCTTATAGCAATAGTGGCAGATCCACGTGACTTTTGCGACGTTGCTGCGCAAGGCGATGCGATAGCCATGGCTGTATACCCAGCTTGCTCGGTTCGAAAGTGATGTGGGCGGCTTGCAGTGCTTTGGGTAGCGACTCCAATTAAAGCCGTCGTATTTGTCCTCTACCCATACGAAACCCTCGTCGACAGCCTCGCTAGCTGCTCCTGAAGCTGCAACAGTGGCATGCTCGCTGCCCTCAGGTGGTGGGATGATTGTCTCTTCGGCGCGCGACTCTCGGAGGTAGACTCCGCAACAATCAATTCAATCCGGTCACTCTCCTAGACCCACTTACCTATCTAGGTAGGGCTTAAACTCCTATAGGTAACTACTAGGCTTAAAGCGGTAATCAATCAATCCAATCTGAACCTTCTAGGACCCACTTAATTGATTGTTGCGGACTGTGCTCGGAGGGTCGCTTCAAAATTTGGTGCTTGTGGCGCGGCGACGAGAGCTTGACGCGGCGACAGCGGTGGAGGAGGTGGAGATGGTGAGAATGGCCGAGTATCGACTAGCACAGGTTGGCTGGCAGTCCCGCGATGACGCGCTGCGACTCTAGGGCGCTTCGAAGTTGTCGCGATTTCTAGAGCATTAACGCGTGTTCTTTTTGCTGGCATTATAGCAACGGCGAGGTAGATAATAGCTGCAAATAGAGACGCGTTGATGGAGTATAGGTGAGTGTGGTGGGTGATAAGTAGTAAGTGAAGTGTCGCAGAAGGAGAATATTGTTGCCAGGCCGTTAGCCGGAAATTTAGTAGCTTATTTGCTAGAAATATAGCAAAAAAGAGTGTATTTTAGGTTATAACTAGGTTTCGAACTTACGCACTACACCTAAAAATCATCGTGAGATTGCCCCTCCACCAAGTCCTTCAGCCCCAAGTTTCCAACCGCCCCATCCAACCAAGCTAAGCAAGCTGACTGAGCGAGCGCCTATCCCTAAGCTCGCTCGGCTTGCAAGCGCGCACTGCGCGCTCAGCTCATTCGGCTTGGTCAAAACGTCCAAGCCGAGCGAGCTGAGCGAGCCGGCTCGCTCGTTGACAAGTATGCTAGCCCCTTACACATAGTGCCACGGTATTCACCGATATCGTCAAGGTCTCATATGCCACCACAATAGCCTCACATCTTGTGCTTGTACGCCACTGGTAATTATAGCCTCACCAGATAGGGTACCCAGGATAAGAGTTTGGAAATGTTCAAAGCCTGCACTTGGCAAAATTATTATTAAAATTATGAAGTGTGGGAAAGTTTTTGCATAGAACTCAGTACAAAGCTCGGCATACTAGTCATGGCCCGTCATGGCCTGTCATGAACTCCCATCTCGGTACATCTCTCATAGCTCCTATCCTAGAAGCTGACTACCAGAAAGAGCTCCAATACCCGAACGCCAGAATCACGCAGCAATATCTCTTGAGCTGTGTCTCAGACAAAATTGTGACAGAAGTGACGTTCGGTCAGATCCCACCACTCAAATTGCTTATCGGTAAATTCTTCCGGCATCTGTGCCTCGCCCTCAACAATGTCGCATTCTTCGTAGTCAATGATGTAGCTGTTTTTGTATTGTCAGGATGCGATATTACTTAGGGAAGAACATGAAACTTACCATTTTCGCTCCTCTGGATCCCACATGATATTCCGGAAAGCAGTATCGTGTGACACGACATCACAGTTCCACACATCCCTAGTACATTTGTTAATTATCCAAGTTATAAACCCTGTCGAATTGACTTACATCAGGGCTATCTTGAAAGCTTCACGTATCTCGTCTCGCTCCGTGGGAGATAGTTCAGACAAGTAATGCCGACTGAGTCGAACTCCCGGTACTTTCTTCATCAGTATAACCACATAGCAGTGATCGGAATGGTCTGGTCTGGTCTGGTCTGAGGGTACAGACCAGACCAGACCAGGTGCTTACATAAGGACCGGTCCGACCAGACCGGTCCGACCAACAAGACCGCCAAGAATGAGGCTGAAGCAAAGAAGGAAGCCGAGGAAATGTGTTTTACTACTGACTGTCAATCTAGTCGTCTTCGTTCTCACTATCCTCGATATCGCTGTTCCCCTCAGCTTGGGGCTTTCCATACCAGGCCCGGAGACACTCGCACGCTTCTATAATATCTGCCTTCAGCCTACCACGGCGATCGACGATAGTAAGCTTCGCGCTACTAAAAAGACGTTCGCATTCATCCGACATAGGCGAGATCGCAAACATGTCTAGAGCGAAGCGAGCGAGATCTCGTTGGGAGTCGTAGCGAGATAGCCAGTACGCAATAGCCTCATTGCAACCTGCCTCTTCGTTATGAAGCCGGTCAGTAGAGATGTATTGTTCATACAAATCAGTTGTAGAAACTGGAGCGTCTATTCGAATGCGCTTATGTTCCCGCTGGCGATCAAATGCTGGGTCAGGATCTCTCTCCTTCCTGGCTGGTGGTGGCAGCATCTCGACAGGGTACCTTCCCTTATACTCTGTCTCCCAGAGATGCTTCACCGCTAATTGTGCGTTTTCAAACCACCTCTTCTTCTCTTCGTCGCCATGAAGAACCCACTCTTGCCTGAACCATCCCCACTTGCGATATGGATCAAGGATTTGAGCCGCATAATATGCCGGTGGAAGGTCAGTATCTTCAGGGAATCGATTTTGCCAATTCAGCTGCTGATTGTTATAGTACTCAACGCACTTTAACCAAGCAGCATCAGCGCAGCCTTGAAGGTACTTCCATGTAAAGTTGTTATCGTCCTCAGTGTGGATGTCGTGGTAGTGATCCTTCGTCTCGCTTATCTCCCGGAGAAGGCAGTCCAAAGTTGAAAACCAGTCCGCAAGTGACGTCTTCTTACCTTCAGAAAGCAAAGTTGCAGCATAGAAGTCTTTGAGAGCGAGTTCAATCTTTTCAAGCTCAAACCAGTGCTGTCCATCAAGCTTAAAGTTCGCGATCCCTACGGAGCCCTTTCCAGGTACATGACGAGCCGAGAAGAGCTCTAAACGTTCTCGAACATTTAATGCACGTGTAATCGAATAAAACCATGAGTTCCAGCGGGTCGAGTTGTTCTGGATAAGCTCAAGCCCGTCGAATTGCGAAAGATCTCCGCCGATAATAATTGTAGCAAACTCCTCACGCCGTTGTGGAGTAAGCCTGATGTATCGCACCAGGTTGTGAAGACGACCCAAACATCCGAACTTCTTCCAGAGCTCTTCCACCTTCGTATAGTCGCCACGTTGATGATGCTTCTCCAGCTTCGCAAGATACTTCTCACAGTTTCGCCCCATAAGGAACGCCTGGCAACAGAGGTTGATGACATGGCCCAAGCAACGCAGCCGGCGATGACGACGTTGTTTTGACTTCATCCATGGGCAGAGATCCTTGAGTATAAACTCAACAGCGGTATCATTTGCCGAGGCATTATCCAGCATAAAGTATCCAATCTGATCTCCGCTAATGTCGTATTCTTCCAGCAATTCAAGGACCACCGATCCAAGATTCTCTCCAGTATGTTCGCCGTATATACGTCGCATACCTAAAGCGGTAACACGTCGCATGCCGGTAGTATCAATCCACATAGCGACGACGCCTAGGATAGCGTAAGGGTTTGGTGAAGTCCAGAGATCAAAGGAGATAGAGATCCTACTCCGTGAATGGTGTAGGTCCTCCCTAAGCTGTTGCTTCTTCGATATGAATGCATTCATTACCCAGCTTCGGATAGTCTTCGCAGCCTTCGGGAGGTGGTTGAGTAGTGCCGGATTTAAAAAGAGGAGTAGTTCACGAAAGTACTGGTTCTCTAATTGAAAGAAGGCGATATGGCAGTACACAATCCAACGAATTAGAAGCTCTTTAAACTTCTCTACTGACTCCTTCCAGAAAAAGATGCTGGAAGCAGCCCCATCCTTTTGCTGGTCGATTATAGACTTCCGTACAGAACCCTTTCGCTTGATGCCACTCTGGGGATCAATCTGGTGCTTCTGTTCCAGGTGATTCCGGATCCTAGAAGTGCCATTGATGACAAACAACTCTTGCTTGCTCTTCCCAACCCTGCACTCATGGCAGTAATACACCTCTTTCTTATCGCTATCTCGAATGTATTGGAGTCCGTACTTCCAGATGTGTGATGTACCTTGACGGAAATCCTTCCTTGCAATTATTGCACGTTTCACGTACGTGATACCGCCCTGCACGAACTCATCTGGAGATTCGTGATATTGAATAGGAGTGGGTGATAGTATAGGGGTGGGTGATGACGTGGGGATAGGAGATGGAGTAAGAGACGTTAAATCTAGTCTTATAATATTCGATGGGGACGGTGAGGTTGGTGTTGAAGGCTCCATAACAATAGTATATAAGTAGGTTGTTAAGGACTTGATTGTTCTATGTAAGTAGAAGACTTACCTTGATCTTAATGACTCATATTGTGCTAAATTTTCTGGCTAGATTAGTCTAAGATCTAGTCACGTGGACCTATTTATAGCCGGACCGGTCCGATCATCTAGACCGGTCCGACCACGGTCTCAAAAAATCGCCAGACCAGACCAAGTCTTGGCGGTCTAGACCAGACCAAGACCAAGTCAGACCAGACCATTCCGATCACTGCCACATAGTAACCTCCGACGATCCCAAGCGGGTGGTCACAGGGCATTACGCAGGTCTCTATAAAGCTCAACAGCCATGGTGCGTGTTGATATCGCTGGTCTGTGAGGTGATATAGGGCGAAGATCTCGTTGGCTGTGTTTTGGTGCACCTCCAAGGCAGGGTGTGTGCAGAGGTGCATTGCCAATTTTGTGCGGTTGACTTCTTGGATACTGGCTTCGTCTTCTTTGCTTGATTCTGGGGTGTCCTCGGAATGTCGACTAGTGTACTGTTGGGAATCGAACCTGCGGTAGATAAGGCAGCTGGTTGCTGCATGCACGAGCTTGGATTACACGGCTGACTAAGCCGTGTGGTCCGAGCTCTAGCTGCTGCCTTACTGCCGACCTTCCTCCACCTCCATAGAACAACAAGAACAATCACAATCATTTCAACTCGTTGCAACGAAGGTGATTCCGATACCTTAGCCGTATCAACATGTACTCTTCGCATACGGTAATCCACTTCTGGTAATATCGCTCGGTCGATTCCAATGCTTTGATCCTTATGAATTTAGATTTATGGAGAAAAAGGATAGGCGCACTTACTGGAACTTCATCTTGATTACTGCTTCCTGGCCGACATGGTAATTTGAGCACGGGTCTTCAGAGCAACGAACGTCGAATACTTGCGTCGCTTCACAAGGACTACTCGTGCGCTGAAACTTCATCTCGGATAGTGGTTCTTGAATCAACCATCGCGATTCTTCTGAGAAGGCAACGTATGTTCCCACCACGCCGCACGAGTCGCTAATATCTCGGTCAGGACTGCGCGCCGCTTTAGGATGGTCGGCTGCAACTGGGGTAAGCGACGCATAACCTGCAGCAGGCAAGACCCCAGATACCGTAGACGAAGAAACTTGGGCTGACATCTTGCACATTTAATATGTGAGTGTAATTTGGGCGCGAGAGTTGAGTGGACGGTAGTGCGATACATAGCCCTAGTTATCCGGGTACGGTTTCACGTGAGCACGTGCGCTCTTAACCTCGAAGGGGTTAGCCCCACGCAACGCCACTTCCAAGTGATTGTTTGTTAGCATTCACTTACACCAGGATTCCACTAAGTGTGAGAGAAGTTACAGCATCAGGAGTATTACTCGGATGCTCAGATATGTTGAGCGTAAATAGAAAAAAGTTATTCGATTTATGCTCTGCGAAGAAAGCCTGGAGTAGTCCGTGTATCCCCGCGGTAGAGTACGGTTAAGTTAAGAATTGAGACAGCAAAACAATTTGTTTGCTCTATAGCCTTGAATAAACTATGAACATAGGTAGCTATCACTATATTTAATACTAGGTACCAAAAAATGACTCCTCTTATCGCAAATCCCGAATTTCCGATGCTGGTGACATTTGAATTGCCAAGAATGAAGTCACGAAGTACCCCCGGGATAGCAAGCCAAGCAGTAGCCACGAGTAAGTGAAGACGATGATCTGCATTTCATAGAGTATCGTCTTTGAACCATTTCTCATTGTAAAGCTCTTGTTAACTGGTTTTTTATACTGCTGCTATAAACCCCATGTTGTGAAAATCTGCTACTACTAAGCATTGATATTACTTACTTCATATTTATAAGCCTCTCAAATGTATACGTAACGGAATAAGTTGGCGTTCCTCTATAATTCAACCTTATAATTGTTGACACGGCAAAGGTGTCGAATACTAGCAGTCGTTGCAACGAACAAAGTGTATAGTATTTGATTAGTAGTGAGCAAGAGCTGGATGGAGAGATCTCCATATGTACGGTTGCGAGCTAAGCGGGAAGCTTGGTCTAACTAGTGGTCCAAGCTTCCGGCCCGGAAAAACTCGCCGGGCTGGCTGTACGCGCATGTCCCTGTTACGAACCTGTGGGAAGGGGCACGGCGGTTAAGTTAAGGAGCGTCGGCGGGATAGCTGACCCCTCCATATGTGACACGGGAACTTAATCACGTGACCTCCTCGGCTTGGCATGCACGAGGAAAAGTCTTGGCACACCCCTCGTACATACGCCACCGAGGAGTGCTCCTCGCGCGTCAGCCA